CCAACCAACCTTCCCAATCCACCCCTTGCCTTGGTGTGTTTTGCGACAAAACCGTGCTGTTACCGGATTCCAACCGTTTAAAGCCGTTGGCCCAAATTGCACAAGTTTTAAAAAGTTGACGCGAGGGGGTTTTTCTGGTTTGGGGTTTGGCGAGTGATTCCGATTTCATCTTTTTCGCCAAACCCAGCCTGCCCTCGTATTTCCCCCTGGGGGCTGGATCAGTCTCGGAAAGTCCCAAATTGCAGGTGCGTTAGTTTTCAAAGTTTCGACACTCAACTTCGTCAAGTTTTAAAAGCTTGACCCGCGCGCTCCGCAATTTGGGCCGCGGGCCTTAACACTTGGTTGGAAGCCAGAATTACGAGACGCGAGCTTTAACCCGTTCAGAGACTGCATTGCCTTTCACACCAGTCGCAGTTACCACTCCGCTTTTCGTCAAAGAAAGTTCGCGTATCGGAAACATCAATTCTCGCTATTGTGAAGAAATATGGAAAGTAGATGGTTACTGGCCCGGTTCACGCCCAGCTTTAAGTCCGGTAACCCAGAATGACCCAAGTGGCAATTTCGTGAATGGAGGCTAAACACACATCCCCACGATCTCTTAAAGCGACGGTGCACATTTGCCACCCAAAACCCAGAACCCTGGCGAACTGTTACTGCGGATGGAAAGTGTCCGCACGAAATCCTGGTTTTCGCCAGCCAGCACTTTCGCGCTGGCAAGCCTGGTTAAAAAAAAAAACTTCTGAACCCAACATTGCCAAAAGTTGCCCGTCGCTTTAACGGAAGCACCGACACGCGCCCTAACGAGTACCACTGATTAGGCTAGTATCTGTCTGCACTACCATCATGGTATCTTTCTCGTTTGGCCTCTGCTCTCGTCAAGCCATTTTCTCGAGTGAGTTAACAACTGCGCATTTCAGATCGTTGCGTGCCCAGAGCCTGTTTCGGAGCTAAGATCCAAGTGTGTGCGCGAGTCTCTCGGCATGTCTTTATTATCTTCGAACCCTAAAAACACGCCTGAGGTAATTTGGTCTCGTCATTCCATTCATTTCGCCTCGCGCACAACCCTACCCGAACTATCATTCTACTCCTTTCTTTGATGCCTTTCAGTCGTTTGGTGCTCCTTCTACCCTCTGTTCCTCTCATCTGCATACCGTTGCCGCCCCGCCGTCTCCATTCCACGTCTCTAACACTTAGCGCGCAAAAGAGAATGCAGCAAATAAAAGTTGAGTAGTCATGCATGAATGCTCCGTGTCTCCATGCTCTTATTCGGGCAAAGAAACACCATTCGGGTTTTCAATCAGCCTGCATTGCCAAGAAAAAAATGAGTGTGCGTCCTCGCATTGCTGCAAGTCCCGCCATCACACATCCTGCCTTTTTCATGTCCTCGTTTAGATTGCCGCTGTTATGCGGATCGACACTGCAGCCCTCCGATTTCCGCCGATTGGCAATGTTGACCGTCGATCCGCGCAGATTGGCACATTCCGACCGTCGATCTGCGCGGATCGGCCACATTTTTATCCAAGGATTCGCGCGGGTTGACGATTTCGACTGCCGATCCGCGCAGATTGGCGATTTCGGTGGTCTTTGTGGGAGTGGGACGTGCATATCTTCATCCACCCCTCACCTCACTCAAGACGTATCTCCTTCGTCCTCTTCCAACACCCTGCTCTGCTCTCCCGCCCTCACAATACTTGCGTGTCCAATTCATGCCCGCTCCACCCGACGTCATCCGTTCGCATGTTTTCATTCCTTGTTTCATCACCTATCCTCGTCGCCTCATCTCCTTCTACCAGGTTGCCCAGTGAATCTTCGCCGCACCTTCACTCGAATGCTCCTCCTCCGCCACCCCAGTGGCGTAATGGTTTGCCTTGTTCGACTACCAAGGTGGAGCGAGTGTTACTCGCATTGAGTACCTGCCCAGTCCCGCCCGCTCGTCCCCCCTGCATCCCTTCCCTCGCACCACTTTCAGAATCGCCAAGGTCCGCCATCAGATTGACCGACTCCACGCTGCAGCTGCTGTTTCATTCCTCGAGCCGCCACGGAAACACGACAGTTCAAACAAACCTAATCAAAGGTAAGTGTTTGGACTGGTGAATCCATCAGCTTCCCCATTGTCTTCCCAGTCTCTTTCGTCCACTGCAAGGCTACATTGGTGCTCGTACGCGTATCAGAGCCCCAGTATGTAACTTTGTTGGCGAATGAGCTTACGAATCTAGAACAACGCCAAGGCACATTGTTGCCCCTCGACGCATTGTTGGCCTGCTTGGCCCTTCCCGTGCTGCATTTTCTTCTCCTTGGCGCATTCACCATTCTGTCACATGCCTGGTCTCTCTCTCACTGAGTAAGGGTTTGACTGACCTATCCTGTGAGTGATGTAGCCTGAGAGGAGAATGAGGAATTATCAGGTAAGAAAAGGGCGAAATCTGATTTGGGTAAATGGTGCATTGGTTTCCGACCAGCCCCGTCGTCTCTCAAGCCAACCACCAACAGCTAGCTTGCTGAGATGGGGTTGGCCCAGCGCCCCCCACGCACTTGCATCTATTACATTCAAAATCAGAGGAGGCTTCTCTAGCTGTCTTCTTTCTCTCACCCTACGATTGCCTTTTCCGAAACCACCTTCTCCCACCACCATTGTATCTAGGACCGTCTGACTGCTCGGCCCATTCAGCTCACTCCGTTTGATTGATGCTACCCCCCCTGCGTATCAGCCCCCTCTATGTACCCCTCCAACCTGGTCCGCCTTCTCTGGTTCCTATCGCGTTTCGTTTGTTGTTGTGCTTCTTCTTGAGTCTTTTAGCGAATCTCTGCCTGTCTCTGCTTTCTCCTCCTATGTTTGGCCTGGATTCCGCGAAGCGCTTCTACGTGAACACCCTATGCACTCTCCAGCTCACCACCCTTCACCGACTGCATTTGTTCCTGCCTTGCTGCAATATCTGCAGTGCCCCTTTTCAACAGCCCCTGTTTCCACGTTTGTCATCAAGTCTCCCTCTTTCTCTGTTCCATATCTGCTCACTTTCTCCCATCACTGCTTCTTTCCTCAATCCCGTGTAATTGGTCTTGTTCGTGTGCTGACCACACCCCCTCTCCCTCTGTTCTTTTTACCTTTCTCCTTTTCCCTGCACCTCCCTCCCCCTCTCCTCCTCCTGTGCAAACTCCTCTGTCCCTTCTATAGATGACGAGCCATGCCTTCCGATCGCCTGACGTCCGTCGTCGCGCAATAGCCGTCGCTCGCAGCGGAAGACTCCGCCTCGCATCTCTTCGCGAACACCTCTCACCTTCACCAGCTGCACCTCTCGCATCATCGCACGCCACCGATTCATCGCACGCCACCGATTCATCGCACGCTAACATTTTCGCAGATACGCCTTCGCGCCGTCATTCCAGCGTGTCTCATCCTCCCCCACCTTCATCGTTCCTCAGCGCGTCTCACCGTAACCATCCCTGCGATTTAGGTAGTCACCGTAACCCCGCGCTGATCCGATTAGTCGCCACTCGCTCGTCACCGCAGCCTGCGTCTCCTAGCATCTGTCATCATCATTACCACAACAGCCGCACGCCGCTTGTTCATGGATGCGGGCTCTCCGCTTCGTCCGCTCTGCTTTCCCGGCTTCTTCACTCATCTCGAGCCGTCGCGGCCGTTGGATCGGAGCCGCCGGTTGCTGGGGAGAGATCTGGACCGTCGGGCGAGAGAGCGGCTGGCGGGGAGGAGGAGAGTGTGGGGGATTTGCGTGTGAGCTATGGCGCGACGGAAGCAGAGGGGGAGGAGGCGGAAAGAAGAGGGAATTTCAATGACGGAAGGGAGGAGGAACGGGGAAGGGTTTGGGATGAGGTTCGGGAAGAGGATCGGAATGTTGAGGCGCGGGGAGGGGTGGATTTAGCGGACGGGGAGAAGCAGGAAATGCCGACGAGACAGCGACGGGTTTGGGTGCGGGAGGAGGCAGGCGGCGAGGCGGCGGCAGGGGGAGGGACGGCTGAAGAAGGACGATCAAGAGAGGGAAGCCTTGGCAACACCGAGCAGGGTAGTCGTACCAATGAGGCTGTAATTACCGCAAAGGGTGTTAGTAACGCGGAGGCCAATAACGAGGACGACGATGACCACATGAGCGGGTACGGCGTGGCGTCGGAGGAGGATCTGCGCAACGCGAAGCAGATCGCGGACACGATTCTCAGCGGGCGGTTCTTCGCGGGGATGAGCCGCGGGAAACGGCACTGGGCAGGGGACGACGCGGGGGAGAGCGGCAACGCGGGAGGAGAGGATGGGGGAGTGAGGGAACGCGGGAGGAGAGGGAAGGAGAGGCGCAGGGAAGGGCGCGGGGAGGTGGGGGGAGATGACGAGGAGGAAGAGGAGTGGCGGAGGAGTTTCCATGAGAGGGGGTGGCGGCCGGGGTTCAGGGGTTTGGGGGACTGGTTGGGGGAGGCGGGCGGGGGACAGGCGGAGGCGGAGGGGCAGGTGGCGGTGGAGAAGCAGCGGTTTGCGCGCGTGGCGCTGGTGGGCGCGCCCAACGCGGGGAAGTCCGCCCTGATGAACAGACTGGTGGGGGGAAATGAGAGAGAGAGAGAGAGAGAGAGAGAGAGAGAGAGAGAGAGAGAGAGGTTAGAGTGGGATGGAAGGGGTGAGGAGGGAGGGTGAGCAAGAGGAAAGAGTGAGAGAGGGTGGGAGTAGTGGGAGGAATGGGTAAGGAGCGACTTTGATCGGAAGGCTGGAAGAGGGGAAGCGGTAGGGGAAGCGTTTAAGCGGAGTAAGGTGGGGGAGGGGGGTAAGAAAGAGCAGATGCGGGGTTGAGTTAGTTGCGAGTTTTGGCACGCTACATTGCACTCCTTTGCTGTCTCAACCGCTCACCGCTTCCTTCCTTCACATTTGGGATCTCCCTCTCATCCACTTGTCCCCCTCTTCCCACTCCCTCTTCTGTCACATCTGCCTCCCTCCTTTCTCTTCCTTTCACTCACCTCCTTTCCCCTCCCCGCCCTGCCTTCTCCTCACCTGTTTGCCGTGCGTGCAGGTGGGCGTGAAGGTATCAGCGGTATCGCGCAAGACCAACACGACACAGAGGGAGGTGGTGGGCATCCGCACCACCGGGCCCACGCAGCTGGTGAGCTTCGAGTTTTCACACGCCTTAACACTGCTGGTGAGCAGAGCGCACGCCCCACACAGCTGGTGAGCTTTGACGGTTGATGCGCCTGAAAAACTGGTGAGCGCAACCCACTCAGGGGTCCCTCCTCTTCAGCCTCCTCCCTTCCTTCCCCCGCTAACCCCCTCCCTCTCCCCTTCTTCCCGACCCCCAGGTGTTCCACGATACGCCAGGGCTGACAGTGGCGCTACCATCGCAGCCCCTGTCAGCATCGCAGCGCCAGGGGTCGCTGCTCGCCTCGTCCGCTGCCCTGCATTGCCATGTGGTGGCGCTGGTCATTGATGCCGACCGGCAGATCCGGAGGTACGAGGATGCTTGTGGTGGTAGGGTGTGGTGAGAAGGGCTGTAGCTGAAGCATTGGCCGTGGGGCTTTGTTTGTCTGTCATCCCCCAGTCTTGGGTTGCTCTTGTTCTCCCCTTCTTCCTCACTCACAGTCCTTCCCTCTCGTCCACGACCAATACTTCCCCCACCTGCTCTTGGAAAAGAGAGGGTACCACCTTATCCCAGAATGTTCCCTCTCTCTCCACCCCATCTCAATCCAAACCAATCATCCCACTAATTCACTCCATCCCACAAACCCATCCCATAAAACCCCATCCCTTCCCACTGCACTCCACCCCTGCAGGCCGGACCCGCAGGTGCGGAGGATGGTGGGGGTGGTGGGGGCGGAGCGGAGGGAGGGGCAGCAGCGCGTAGCGGTGCTGAACAAGGTGGATCTGGTGAAGGACAAGCGGCTGCTGCTGCCGCTCGCACAGGAGCTCAGCTCCTTCCACTCCATTGAGAGGTGGGGGGAGTGGGGGGGAGAGGTGGGAGGGGATTGGGTGGGGTGGGGGAGCTGGGTGCATGGGGGGAGGTGGTGGAGTGGGGAAATGGGGGGTTGAGGGTGGTGTAGGAGTGGCCGTTTGAGATGTATGAGGGTCGAAGGTTGACGGTCCAGGCTGAGTGCATAGCAGTGCTGAACCACCCTGTATTCGATTCTGGTAGATTCTAGCAGTGCTGAACCACCCTGTATTCGATTCTGGTACATTCTAACAGTGCTGAACCACCCTGTATTCGATTCTGGTACATTCTAGCGGTGCTGAACCACCCTGTATTCGATTCTGGTACATTCTAGCAGTGCTGAACCACCCTGTATTCGATTCTGGTAGATTCTAGCAGTGCTGAACCACCCTGTATTCGATTCTGGTACATTCTAGCAGTGCTGAACCACCCTATATTCGATTCTGGTACATTCTAGCAGTGCTGAACCACCCTGTATTCGATTCTGGTACATTCTAGCAGTGCTGAACCACCCTGTATTCGATTCTGGTACATTCTAGCAGTGCTGAACCACCCTGTATTCGATTCTGGTACATTCTAGCAGTGCTGAACCACCCTGTATTCGGTTCTGGTACATTCTAGAGGTGCTGAACCACCCTGTATTCAATTCTGGTACATTCTAGCAGTGCTGAACCATGGTTACGCCCTGCGTATTCTCAGCCCCATACTGCCGTCCATGCCCTCACCCATCGTCACCCCACCCCACCCCACCCCACCCCTCCCCTGCGTGAAGGGTGTTCATGGTATCAGCGCTGCAGGACAAGGGCGTGAACCTGCTGGAGGAGTATCTCTTTGACCATGTGCGTGCTTCTCCTGCCCTGCCCTCACCTCTCACATGCCATGCTACTATGCCATGGAGTCGGGCCATGCCTTGGGTTGGAGCTTATGCCATGAGGCTAATTGCCCACTCTCCCTTCCACTCCACCTCTTGTTGCTGTTTTCTCGTTTGCACCCGATGTCTACTCGTGTTACGTGCACAAGCATCCCCTCCTGCTTTTGAGATTTCTCAGAAGTGACGCCACGTTACGTCACGCCCCCTTCCATCCTGCATCCGTCATGTTGTTCCAATATGTGCCATCTCGCTTTCTCTCTCCCTCCCTCCCACACACCCCGGTCAATACACATCCTCCTGTCGCACACACACCAGGCGATGCAGGCGCCATGGGAGGAGGACCCTCGTCTGCGCACGGACCAGTCCCCTGAGCAGCTGGCCATGCAGATCGTGCGCGAGCTGCTGCTGCACCGCATGCACCAGGTGGGCTGGGCTGTGCGTGGCTTGCTTGCTCACTCGCTTGCTCGTTACAGGCTGTGGAGCGTATGTGAGGGCATTTAAAAAACCCTGGTTCCAGCAGGTGGGTGTTTGCACAGCTGGCCATGCAGGTCGTGAGGGAACTGCTGCACCACATGCACCAGGTGGGTGGCTTGCTTGCTTGCTCGCTCGTTACACACAGTGGGGTGTGTGTGAGGCACCTCATCGCCTGAGACGTCCCCAAGCACTCCTTATCTACCCTTGTTCTCCATGCTCTCCTCTCTCTCTCTCTCTCTCTCTCTCTCTCTCTCTCTCTCTCTCTCTCTCTCTCTTCCTCCTTCTTCCCTACCTCTCTCATCCCCACAGGAGGTGCCATACGCCATAGAGCACCGCCACGTGTCATGCTCTGTGCTCAGGGATGGGTCGCTGCGCATAGAGCAGCTGCTGCTTGTACAGTCCAATGCACAGAGAGCCATGCTCGTTGGCAAGGCAGGACAGGTCGTGCGGTGAGTCCTACTGTGTTGTGGTGTGGTCGTGCTCTTTGCTCATGGATGGGTCGCTGCGCATAGAGCAGCTAAGCTGCTGCTTCTGCAGTCTAATGCACAGAGGGCCATGCTCGTTGGCAAGGCAGGTCAGGGCGTGCGGTAAGTCCCACTCTTGTGAGGTGTGGTGTAGGCATGATGTGGTGTGTTCATTCGTGCTATCGTTGGTGTAGCTTGTCCGTCTATCTTGCCTTGTGCTGCATTTGTGTGTGCGTCTGATCTGCTGCTCTTTCCTGTTGTGTTGGTGATTCAGTTCCATTGGCAGAGAGGCACGGTATCAGCTTCAGAACATCCTTGGCGGTCCAGTTCATCTCATTTTGCAAGCGAGAGTGGACCGCAATTAATTGAATAAGGCCCCATAATCAGGATCGCACGGTCTCATGTGAAGCAGTAACAGGCGAATTTTCCCCGTTTCGCCAAGAGGCGCCATTTTCAGCTCGCTCTTATGAATGTACAGTAGATTGAAATTGACAGGTTACCTTTGTTCTTTATTGTGTTGGAACAAATTATGGATACAACTTCTTCAAGACTCCGTTATAACTCTGAATTTCTGAAACATTCTAAACCTGTTGCCCACACCAGCCATGTGAGCTCTGCCCATGCTCGAAGCATCACCTCCCTGACAGCCATGCGATAATGTCGAGGAAACACCTATCGGTGTCCCAGCTGGCTTCGCGGGAGGATCTCTTTGAGATCGGGATGAGCTGGGACTCTACGATCCTAACCTCGACCACTCACCTGCCTATTGTCCGCCGCCTCCCGCCGCAGATCCTAAGCGACTACTCCACCTGTATGCTGGCCGCCCTCCTACGGATCTCCAAGCTGCCGAACTGCGCGGGAGCGTGGTGGGTCCTCATGTTCCTGCGATGTCTCACCTTACGACTTAGCAGGAGGTCCAGCTCTAGGTGGAAGGTGCTGCGAGCTCAGATGCACCTATTCAGATGTGGCCACTGGACCCAGCTGTACAGTGACTACGTGGGGTCCTTGCACCAAGCCGAGCCACCTCATTACTAGCGTGACCCCCTGGGAATCTGCTCACGTGTGGAGGGGCTGGTGAAACGGAGTAACCTGCGAAAGGCATTAGCATCCCTTTGTTGGGCTGAGAAAAACCCTTAGGATCTTTCAAGGCTAAGATCGGGGTTGGAGTAGAAATGTTGTAGTTGCGGAAGCGTTTAATATCAGAGTTGCTGAACCTATCAAAGTAACGAACGAGAATGAATGAACTAGCAAACAGTTGGGTACAAGTACTAACCCTAATTGGGTTGTACCCCTTGTGGGCTACCCCACTACAGCCTACACAAATGTATAAGCTATAATGTTCTGACACACCCCCATAGGCAAAGTGGGGGAGAACAAGTGGTCACAAGACCAGTCAAGAAAAGCAAAGCAAGCTCAGGGTGGATCACAAAGTCACCACACAGTCCGAGCACAAGCAAAGGGCCACAGGGCCAGTTCACATGCAATGTTATATATAAAAGAGAACAAACAATACAGTGATCATACCCTAGCAAGTGCAAGCATGCAGGTATATATATAGATCACAGTACAAGCAAAGTCACGCAGTAAGCGAGGCAAAGTAGGCACAAGGCCTAACACAGTAGAGAAACGCTGATGATCACCAGGCGGAAGTGCCTTGGTGAATATATCAGCAGTCTTGGCCCTAGTGGCCACGTACGCAAGACGAAGCTGGCCACGTTGCTGCAACTCTCGAGCAAGGAAGTATCTCAGAGCGATGTGCTTCGTTATGTGCTCCTTACACAAGGCAATCATGGCCTTGTTGTCTACGTACAAAAGTGGAGACGAACGAGGCTGCTCTCCCAAGTCAGTCAGCAGGTAGGTGAGCCAGCGTAGCTCCTGTGCAGCCATGGGCCCAGCGTAGATCTCAGCCTCACAATTGGAGCTGAGAACCGAAGACGAGCGGGTAGACCGCCAGGAGACAGAGCCGGAGCCAAGGCTGAAGGTGTAACCCTGTGACGACCGATGCGTAGCTGAGTCGTCAACCCAGGAAGCGTCTGCGTGACCAGTGAGGACAACTGGACCCCGTCCTCCAAGCACGAGCTCCATGCTCGACGTACTGCACAAGTAACGCAGTACCCTCTTCACAGCATCCGAGTGCACCTTTCGGTGCCTACCGGGAGCCACGTAGCGAGCAAAGAGGCCGAGAGGGTACGCGAGGTCGGGTCGAGTGCACGTCATCAGGTACATGAGGCAACCCACAAGCTCTGGGTACGGACCACTCGGCTCTACGGACTCGTGCAAAGGTGGAGCTGAGAGCGAGTGGCTGGTAGACAGAGGAGTGGGCTGTGGCGAGGAGAACTGGAAGCCGAAGCGCTGAAGGACCTGGTGCACCATGTGTGACAGCGTCAGGGTAATGGTGCGCCGAGCTCTGTCCCGGGTGATCTGCAAGCCAAGATAGCTGCGCAGTTCACCCAGGTCAGTGCAGGTGTGTCTCGCCGAAGCAGCGACGTGCAGCAACACCCGAAGAGTAGTCATCTTCGGGGTGGGGGAGAAGGTCTGGAAGTAGTCAACTCCCTGTCGCTGACTGAAGCCTCTAGCAACGTAACGCGCCTTGAAGGCAGGCGGAGAACCCGGCGGCCGCTTCACCCTGAAGATCCACATGCCATCGACTATGTTCGCCCTAGGTGGGGGAACCTCGTCGCCGTAGGTGCCTGTGGACTTCCAGGATGCCATCTCGGCATCCATGGCTGCCTGCCACTGAGACGAGTAAGGACCCGTAATCGCCTCTGCGTAAGAGCGCGGGGTCGGGATGTCTGGAGCATCCGGGTCTCCCTCAGGGGCAAGCAGCATGGAAGCGAAACGAGGTACAACAGCTTCAAGGTCCTCCTGCCTGTCTTCAAGGACGTCCATGCCAAGAGCACACTCACCCCCGACGGACGAAGGATTGGCAGACGCAGACTCAGCAACAAGAGCAGTGGCGTAGTCTAGACGACAGGCAGCAGCAAAGTCAAGCAGCTCAGCAACGAGAGCAGACGCAGCAGCAGACTCAAAAGAAGGGTCAGTGACAGCAGTGGCGAGGAGACGAGAGACAGTGGGACTGGCAGCATGAGCGCGGTCAGACTCAGGGTCAGGGACCTCAGGAAGAGAGGACTCAGGAGGAGCTGGCAGAGGAACGCATAGAGGAACAGAGGAAGGACGAAGCGTCATAGCGTGCGTGCCAGGGACAGGAGGAGGACACGAACGAGGAACGTGACGAGAAGTGCGAACGAACGAGACACGACGAGACGCAGGCTCACGACGCTCTGTAAGACCGCTAGACTGCTCAGTGTAAGGAGAAGGAGCAGGCAGTGGAGAGGCCGGCTGTAACGGCGGCTGCGACTGGTCAGGCTGGGGACACAAGAGGGGAGGATTAAGGGCAGCAGAAGGCGGGGTACCAAGAACCTGCTGGAGCAGGGGAACAAAGTACGGTCGCGGCCGCACAGTGCCACCAGGGTCAACAGCTCCAGCTCCTCCAGCTCCAGCGCCTCCAACACCAGGGCCTCCAACTCCAGCGCCTCCTGCGCCAGGGCCACCAACTCTAGCTCCTCCAGCTCCAGCGCCACCAGCACCAGTAGTAACAGACTCCATAAGGTCTCCAGCTCCAGCACCCTCAACACTTCCAGTCCCGGCAGCTCCAGTACCCCGGGTACGAGCACCTCCAGGACCAGTGGTCGCAGTACCTCTAGTAGCACCAGCTCCACCAGCAACTCCAGTACCTCCATCTCCAGCAGCGCCAGCACCTCCAGCTCCAGAAGCTCCACTCCGAAGAGGCGTACGCCGAACAAACCAGTCACGTAACTGCTGCGGAGACACTCTCGGGGAAGCACCAGCAGAACCTCGAGACGAAGCAGCACCCTGAGGCTCCGCACCTCCAGACTCCGCACCCTCCGACACAGCACCCCCAGGCTCAAGACCCTCAGGCTCAGCACCCCCAGGCTCACCACCCCCAGTCGCAATACCCCCAGGCTCAGCACCCCCAGTCTCAACACCCCCAGGCTCAGCACCCCCAGTCTCAGCACCCTCAGACTCCGCACCCCCAGGCTCCGCACCCCCAGACGCAGTACCTCGAGCAGCACCTGAGTCGACAGCTACTTGAACAGGCGCAGGACCAGGGAGAGGGTCTACCTGAGACACACATGAGGGAGCAGGACTCTGGGGCGGGAGGGGGTCTACCGGAGGGGGACCGGGAGCAAGGAAGAGCGGCGGGGGCGGGGGAGGGGCAGAGCGGTAGGGAAAGAGGCGCTAAAAGGGAACCGACTCGTCAAACGTGACGTCCTGAGAAGGGAAGACACGGCGCGAGGTGGGGTGGTAAAACTGCCAGCCAGGCGTGTCGGGGACAAAGCCAAGGAAGACGCAGGGGATAGCACGGGGGCGCTGACGTATCGCGAACAAAGGCACGAGATCCCCAGGCCCGGAACACCGACGCATCGCCAACCTCCCCCGTCCAACGCAGTATGGGCGAGGTCTCCGGCAAGGAGACACGGGGCCAGAGGTTGAGATGATGCGCAGCGTACCGGACCGCAAACGACCACAGAAAATGGGGAGCAGCCACATGGATCATGGAGGTACGAGCGACCTCCATGACTAAGCCAATGCGGCGCTCAGCAATCCCATTTTGCTGAGGGGAGTCCGGAAGCGTGAATGACTGGAGAATGCCCTCCCCACGACAAAAGTCCCGCAAGAGGTTGGAGGAGAACTCACCACCTCTGTCAGAGTGCAGACGCAGAACAGGAAGCTCCTGGCCGAACCGCTCGCGGAGCTGGAGACGGACAGTGCGGATCCAAGGGATCAAGACATCAACGACCTGACCCTTGCTGCGCAAGGGGAAGACCGTGGTGTACCGCGTGTAGTCGTCAACTACCAGAAGAAAGTAGCGCTCGCGGCTCTGTCCACTGACGCGGGCTGGGCCCCACACGTCCATGTGGAGAGTCTGCAGAGGAGCAGTCGTCGGGGGAAACGAGGAGGAGTGAGGAGCGGCGCACTGCCGCCCCTCGACGCAAGGGAGGCAGGGCGGGGCAGGCGAGGGAGGCAGGGGAGGCAGAGACCTGCGGAGACCAGAGACAAGAAGATGAGAGTGCATGCCACGAAGGCGAGGCAGGGAGGGTTGACCCAGGCGGTGGTGCCACAGAAGAGTTTGGTGCGACAGGAGTCGACATGAGCAAGAGGCGGCTACCTGATCGAATCGGACACCTGAGAAGACGCAGCTACCTGAGAAGGCTCGGTAGCGAGTGTGTACAGACTCGACCCTGGCCAACAAGTGAACGTGGCCAGGTGACGCCCCGTCCGTGTGCACGTGCAGATCGACACACGCTGACCCCCAAGAGTGGTGGTAGTGACCATCGCATCG